ACTTAAGTGGCAAGATTTACTCCTGTTTTATAATTAAACCAATAGCTTCAATATATGTTAACAGATTGAGATTCCTTATTGTTGAGCCCCAGAAAAGATGCACGTGTTAGGAACTGAAAAAAAGAAAGAGGGTTTGGTGTCAGGTTTAGTACCCATAAATTGCTACCCTGTTGTAAGGCCAACTCAGGGATTATATATAAGAAGTATAGTTAACCTAATCAGTACCAGAAGTAAATGACTCTTATTAAATCTCATCACTGCAAGAATTTCACCTTGAACTTGAAGGTGTTCAACTTAGGGGTCATATAGCAAATTTTCAGACCTGATTCCTTATCAAGTATTTAAAAATTATCAGCAAATTTATAAAACAATGTGTTAACATACACTGAGCAGATTTTTAAAAATATTCAGACACAGTAAGAACATGGTTGATATTATCTACAAATTCTACCGAAGGATTGCTAGGGTATGTTCAGAGCAAGGAACCACTAGTTTGAGTCTCATCTTTCTTTAATTCTGAATTCCCCCCAATTACATTGTTTTAGTTGTGCCAGCCCCAATATGCAAGAGTCTGTGATTTTTTTTAATTTGCCCCAAAAAATGTAGTGTGATTAAAAATAAATAATAAGCTCTGGAATGAGGATGTTAAATTAATTTGGAGTCCCATACTTAGCTGCATCCTTCTCCTTCCTACATATCCAAAGTGTAAGAGAAACCATTTTGTTTAACATCCCAGTGAAAAATGGAAAATTCCATTGGGTAGAGCATGCAATATATGTGTACTTATGCACTGATGTATTTTAATAAAAAGACAAGAGTTAATAAGCAAACAGTAACTGGGAGCATTAGGTGAATATGTTAGAAATCAAATTAACTATTTGTGGTAAAAAAACAAACTTAATAAGGTGTCAGAATAAGACACTTGAATCTATTTAGAAACTACATAGCACCAGTTGGTAATATTACTTCAGTTTAACTAAAAGAACAGCTCACTCATCAGTCTATAATAAAATTTGCTTTCTACTTTTTGAATGCAGCTCAAGAAGACTTAAAAATAGTCATAGTAAGGAAATCAATCTGTGCTAAACATTTTCTTAAATAGTTAAAGTGACAAATGTAATTAAAATATCAATTCTAGAACTGGAGAGCGCTCACAGGGCTGGAGAGCACCCTTTCCAAGTGGGAGCCCCAGATTCTATTCCCAGCACCACCTCAACCCCCCAAGAATAACTGGGAGCAGCCCTAGAACACCTGTGGGTATAATGTAAAAATTATTAATCTACTTTATTTGTCCTTATTTTTTTAAGAAAGTTGGGAAAATAACAAAGGATGATTTAAATTTTCAGTTTTTAAATTTTTAGATCCTCTCTTAAGTATGAAAATAATAGCTTAATCTAATTAATCTAGTTAATGAAAATAATACTTTAATCAATATTCCAGATTTCTAGGGAAAGGTCTTTGATGACTAAGATTTACTTACAAGACCTCCTGGTTTTCACTAATAACTTGTAACAGCTCCAAGACATTTTTTCTTTGCTCTTTTTAAATACAACTAGCTGGAAATGAATCTATTTGGTATATGTTATTGCACTAAATTTGCCCTCTCACGATGAGAAATGGGCTTTGAATTTTTATGTTTTTCAGCTAAATAAACAACTTGGCAACAGATTTGCTAATTTACAGGGACAGGAGCACTCACTGCTCTCTTTGATCCACGGCCTATAAATCTGCCTTACCTTTGAGCTGGACCACCTTGCGATGCAATCCAAGAAGTCAGTGAAGCCAATTTCTTTCCTTATGGCTCAGACACACAATAATAATAACTTATTATTGTGATGATATATCATTGGTTACCTCATTATACCTCATTAGTTTTTCATATTCAAGGAGAGAAACCTAAGGTGTCTGAAGATATAGGGGAATTTTTCCCTTTCCCAAGTCCATAGTTGTTTATTATATTTATTATACAAAAAAAATTTGTGGGGCCACATCCAGCAATCCTCAAGGCTTACTTCTTGTTCAGCCCTCTTGATCACAACTGTAGGGCTCGGGAAGTGGAAGTAGACTCCATACGGAAGCAGATAAGCTGGAAGTGAGGCAAGTGGCCTATCCGCAGTACTCTCTCTCCAGTCCCAGGGACATGAACAAAATTAACAAGTGGAATAATAACTGTAGTAAGAAGAACGGCCTACTAGGAGCATCAAAGTAGCTAAGAATTATGAAAGTGCTTGGTAAACCATAGAGAAGTACCAAACATGGGATGTGACCTCCTCAGAGACAATTATCTGTTTGCTCATTATTCCAATGAACTAGAACAGAGCTTCACACTTGGAACACAGCATGAACATAGTGGTAACAAAAATTATCAAGCAGAAATACAAGCAATGACATAATCCCCCCAGTTAAACAGTGTTGAACTTCACCAGAAAGCTCAAAAAGAATTCAGGATTTTGTTGGGTTTTTTTTTACCTTCAACTTTTAGACTAGTACTCTCAATAAAGAGAAAAAATAATCAATACCCTGAAATTAACTAAAAATCACATTTACTGACCCACTCTCAAGTTAGTCCTTATCAAAATTGGCTTTTCATTGACAATTCAAAAGGAAATACTGTTCCCTCTGAAAACAATATCTTTTCCAGCTCCTCCTTTGGCTTTTACGGAACATCAATCTATTTCATCCTCACCTCATTACCAAGTGATATGCTGTACTATCTGAGACAATATTTGGTCTTAAGACCAACATTTGGTCTAAGAGCAAGACTCCATCAGTTGAGTAAGACAGAGGCAATGCTTATAAAACAGCACTTTGCCAAATTCCTAAAATTAATGAACACCAATGCTGATTTTAGCATTATACTCTGAGGCACACATTATAACATCTTAATTTACTGCCAAAGATTTTTTTTTCCTTATTTCAAAAACTAAACACACAGGACAAAGTAACTTCTTTTATACAAAGGTTATTTATTCAAATGAAAATGAACATAGGATATCATGAAATCATCTATTTGTACTGAATCAAATATTAGGAAAAACACATGCTTAAACTCTATTAGAACACTTAAAGAATACTATATTCATGAAGATGTCTTAAATGCAGTTAGACGATCCTAGTCTCAATCAATACGATATTTTAGCGAAACGGTAGGTATATAAAACTATTTTTAGAAATTAGGATATTTGAATTTGATTAGAATTTACTACATTTAAGTTTAACCCATAATATGTAGAAAGGTGACAATTAAATAACTTACCAGGTGGAGAAGCCAACCATGTTCGGGAACAATATAAGAATTCTTGAATAATAACTTTTAGGAACATAATGCCAAACCACCAAAAGTTATTCAAATCACCAAATGCCTTTAAAATGCTATTTTTATGAGAAACCATTTACCAATTCTTGTCTAAATGAACCTTCCAATTTTTCTAATGAAAAAAAAAAAAACGAAGTTACCCAAAGTTGCAAGACATGTATATTTGCCTTAACTATATTTATTCTTTGCACAGGGAGCAAAGGCTTCCTAAATTTAGGATTTACTATATGAATGAGACCGGTGTTCATATAATTACATTTGTTCCATTTTGTTAGTAACCATTTCAAGCTTCAAGATCAGGGCAGGTTCTAAACATGTTAGATTCTATAAAGTCATTAGCAATAAATTTGATCCGACAGTTTGCCAGGACAACGGAATCTGCTGAAAAAGCGCCTGTTAGTCATTCTGGACAAACCCGTGGGGGGTTGAAGAATGAGTTTAAGATCGTCTAAGGACACATTCCCCCTCCCCCCCCAAAAAATAATAATTTCTTAATATTTTTCTGGATAAGAGAACTTTTTTTTTTCCGCTGCCAATTTCGGCAGTTCTTTATCCGTTTGGATTAATATTTGACTAAACCCCAGCCCCACTAACTTAGATTTCATGGGAATTTAAGCAAAGCAGAAACTGCCCGTTTCAGTACATTTTCATCTGCTGCTGACCTCCCTAGCCCAGATGCCAGTCCAGCTTGAACCACGCACGGAAAGCAGTTACCCTTGATTTCCCGGCCCTCTGCGGTTCAAACTCCGAGAGTAAAAAGCAAGCCCAGACTTGCCGCACCCTCTTCCCGGAGGGGTTCGCGCCGGGCTGGGCAAGGTCTGACCAGGTTCAGCTGGCAGCGGGGCGCCCCCAAAGCGCGCCGCGCGTGGGGTCCACCTGGTCGAGAACTTTCCAGAAGTTGGTACCGCGGGCGCTCCGTGGGCAGGAGCTTGGGGCCGAGTCTTTGGATTTGGGGAAGCTAGTGACTAGAGTCCCCCCCCCCGGAGGTCAGCGCGCTGCGCCGGGCGCTGCACCCTCCAACGGCTCCTGAGCCGCAGGTGGCCGCGCGCAGGGGGACACCGGGCAGGGACACCGGGCAGGCGGGGGTGGCCGTGCGCTGCAGGTATCGGGCAGGCGGGAGTGGCCGTACGCTAGGGACACCGTCCGGGAGGGGGTGGCCGTGCTCTGGGGGACATCGGGCAGGCGGGGGTGGCCGTGCGCTGGGGGACACCGGGCAGGCGGGGGTGGTCGTGCGCTAGGGGCATCGGGCAGGCGGGGGTGACCGCGCGCATGGGAACACCGGGCAAGCGGGGGTGGCCGTACGCTGGAGGACAACGGGCGGGGGAGGGGATGGCCGTGCGCTGGAGGCCACCGGGCTGACGGGGGTGGCCTGCGCAGGGGGCATCAGGGAGGCGAGGGTGGCCGTGTGCTGGGGGTCACCGGGCCGTGGGGTGGGGTGGCCGTGCGCTGAGGGCACCGGCTGGGGGAAAGGTGGCCGTGAGCTGGGGGACACCGGGCAGGGGGGGTGGCCGTGCGCTGGGGGCGCCGGGCAGGCGGGGTTGGCCGTGCGCTGGGGGCACCGTCCGGGAGGGGGTGGCCGAGCTCTGGGGGGCATCGGGCAGGGGGGGTGGCCGTGCGCTGGGGGCATCGGACAGGCGGGGGTGGCCGTGCGCTGGGGGCCCCGGGCGGCGCGGGCGAGGCTCACCTGGCGCTGCGGGGCCGTAGCCGCCGTCGGGCTGGCCGGGGGCGCGGCCGGGCAGCACCGGGAAGGGCCAGCGCGGCCCGTAGGGCGCCGCGGCCGGGCCGGGCTTGAGCGGCAGCGGCCGGAGCTGGGCGCCCGCGGCGAAGGGCCCGGGGGGCGTCGGCGGGGCGCCCCCCGCGCGCAGCAAGTTCTCGATGAGGAAGCTGCGGCCCAGGCCGCCGGGGTCCGGCGCGGCGGGCGGCTGCGGGAGCTCCGAGGGCGCCGCCGCGTGCCAGGGGGCGCCGGGCAGCATCGTGGGCGCCCGCCCGGGCAGAGACGCGCGGCGGACGGCGGCGCGGGGCGGCGGGTGCGGGTGGGAGGAGAGAGGGGCGGGGGCTGCGTCGGGGCGTCGGGGCCCGGGCCCGGGGGCTGGGGGTGTGTCCAGCCCGTCCCTCCAGCCCCTCGGCCCGCAGGGACCCACACCCACCAGCCCCCGGGCAGACCCGAGCGCGGGCGCCGGGCGGGACCCGCGCCCCGGGACCCCACGCGCGGCCCGACACCTGCGCGCGAGCCTCGCGGACCGGTGGCACTTTGGCGGCCAGCACAGGGCGCCCTGGGAATTAGGTAGTCGCCGGCGTCTGGGCGAGTTCCCTTTCAAAGAGTGAGTGGGTGTATTAGAAAAAAACGTGGCCCCTTATTTAGAGAGTGAGTTTGTGGACTTAAAAACGTGGACCCCAGTTTAGAGAGTGAGTTTATGGACTTAAAAACGTGGCCCCTTATTTAGAGAGTGAGTTTGTGGACTTAAAAACGTGGACCCCAATTTAGAGAGTGAGTTTGTGGATTTAAAAACGTGGGCACCTATTTATTTGGAAGAGGAAAGACCCTGCGTCTAGTTTGGAAACTTTTATGAAATTTCTCCGTTGTGAATGATCCCCTCTGGTCGCTCCTAAGCTTTGATTTAGGAATCACCCCCTAAGGAAGGATATTATACAACTGGAGCTGGTGATAAAGCAAATCACGGGACCTGGAAGTAAACTAGAAGGGCTGGTGCAAATGCTTTACGTGTTGGAGCCCCAGGTTCAAGCCCTAGAGTCACCTGGCCATAGACTACCAACTCCTCAGGGTGTCCTCCCAAACCAAGCACTAACAAACAACCCACCCACCCCCCAAAAGTGAGAGATTTCCTAATTGGAATCCTCCAAGTGCTCCTAAGCGTTATCAGTGGCCAAGATCCATCCTTCTCTACAGAGAGAAGAGCATGGCAACGCCGAATTGCTGGGTGTTACAGATACCCTCCCACCCCACCCCCAAGAAATTTGGGGAGACTTTTGCTGGTTTGTTAAAAGTCTGCTAAATAGAAACTAGACCAGTAAAAGCGTCTGTGTATATGTGTAAAATTCAGCTTCTTTAACCAGGAGGCAACTTTAAAGTCTACATTTAGGAAACTATTAATGTAGTGTTAAAACTGTGACTTCTTTGTCAGTTAACACTTTTCATTGTCACTCTCCTGTGAAATTTGTATTTATTTAGAATAAGCCTTTTAAAAAGCATCTTCAAAGCATGGTGTGTATATATATTGCATATACATATAAATGCAATTGTGTGTTTGCACTATGGGTATTCATATAGGATACATATAGGATAATATATCAGTGTGTAGGACTCATATATGTATATTAAGACGTATTTGCATACACATAAGTAAATGTATTTCCTCTTTATCCTAAGAATAATTAGTTGCCTGGCTTCAGTTTACTTAAAAGCTAGCTGGCACGACTAGTGTGATTTCCTTTTAGGAAATCATCTTTTAGTAAATTGATGTCTTTTATTTACTTCCAGGGCTTTTTAAAGGTCCACCCACCCCACCTGCTGCTACATGAAAGTTATCTTCAAGGCTGGGATATACTACTAATATTCATTGACTGATTTTATCACTATGCCTTTACTGATATTTCATATATTGAGCTTTGAAATATAGAGAGAAAATAAAGCACTAGTCTTTGCCTGGTCAAATTTCATAGCTTAGTGAGAGAGAAAAACAATTTCTGAGAGAGGGATTTTAATCTGAATGAAAAAGTGTAAAAATGCTTCCAGAGGGGCTGGAGCGATAGCACAGCAGGTAGGGCGTTTGCCTTGCACGCAGCCAACATAGCCGATTCCCAGCACCCCATATGGTCCCCTGAGCACCGCCAGGAGCAATTCCTGAGTGCATGAGCCAGGAGTAACCCCTGAGCATCGCCGGGTGTGACCCAAAAAGCAAAAAAAAAAAAAATGCTTCCAAAGACTGTCTTCCTTAAACGAAGTCTTGAAAGGTGAGCAGTGTTTGAGAATGGGATGTTAATAACCTTAGACATTAGCAAGAAGAGATTGCTGTCATCTCCAGATTATAATCACTGTTTATCTCTAGATACTAGATACAGTTAGCCATGTAAGTATAATAACTTTAGGGAGGGCATATTTGAGGTCTCACTGGGCTGTGCTCAAAACTTACTCAGTGCTATCATACTTCTTGTTCAAGGGTCACTCCTGGAAGTGCTCAGGAGAGCTAATTTTCTTACTCCTGCACATGACAGGGATTACTGTCATGTTCAAGATGATCATCTTAACTGCTGTGCTATCTCTCAGCCCCTGCTCTTAAACTTTTAAGTTTCATACTGCCACCCTCTTCATCAACTTGATTTTGCCTTACTAATAGATGTCATCCAACTATGCGTGGAAGACTGAAAAGAATTCTCCTTCTACTTACAAAATGGCAATGAATATTTGAGTCAAGACTAACTGTTGGGTCTGGTAATGTCCCATAGCTAGACAAGTGGAAAAATATAGACACTAAATGTTCTGGAATTTAATAAGGTGAATGGCAAATATGTAGTGAAGGAGGGTCCAAAGCCACAGTTGCCGTGGTAGAGTGCTTGCTTTGCGTGTGGCCAAACTAGGTTTGATTCCCAGCATACTTTATGATTTCTCTGAGCTTTGCCAGCAACGATCCTTGAGCACAGAGCCAGGAGTAAGTCCTAGTATCTCCAGATATGGACACCCCACCAAAAATAAATAAATAAATAAATAACAGAACCAAGAATCAATAATGGTGGAAATAAATTATTACAGTAGTTGAATCTATAAGTCTGTATGATACACTTCTCAGTAAGAAATGATCCTGTCCGGGGCTGGACCGATAGTACAGCAGGTAGGACATTTGCCTTACACACGGCCGACCCGGGTTTGATTCCCAGCATCCCATATGGTCCCCCAAGCACCACCAGGAGTAACTCCTGAGTGCAGAGCCAGGAGTAACCCCCTGAGCACTGCCGGGTATGACCCAAAAAGAAAAAAAAATGATCCTGTCCCCTCAAGAGACACTTCACAATATCTAGAGATATTTTTGGTCATCACAATTTGTCAAAATTCCAAGATGAAAAGGTTTTTAATATTGATGTATAAAGTTACTGCAAGATGCGGACTTTGACAAGGGGAAGGCTTTACATGGGGAGAGAGGAGGTAAGAGCAAATGAAGATAGATGATGCTCTGAATATTTTTGGATTCTTCCAGGGAAAACAATACAGTAAGAAGAGAAATTAGTAGAGAGAAAAAAAAACTGAGATTACCAACATTTGGAGGGGTGTATTTTTAAAAGGATCTATGAGAAAGCTAAAAGCAAGCAGTCAAAATTGAAGGTGGTTGAAATGAAAGGTTGGGGGTGGATCATGGGCCATTTGGTGGAGGTAACTACACTAAGACAATAAATGTCAAAACTATTGTGAACTTGGCAAACTCCCCGTGGCGTACCCAATATGCCAAATACCCGTAACAATGAAGTGTCTCATTCTCCTAACTCTGAAAGAGCCTTGAATATGGCACTTTTTTTTAAAATCTCAGGGCTAGGACGAAGGAGACGTTACTGGGGCCTGCTCGAGGCAATTGACAAATAACAGGATGGCCGTGATCGTGATCATGATTGTGAACTTATAAACTGTATTTTTTAATATTTGAAGATGAAATCAAATGATAATTGTATCATGAAGATAATTAAGAGATTTTTTTTCTTTTTTGGATTTTTGGTCACAACTGTTGTTGCTTAGGATTCATCCCTGGCTTTATGTTCAGGAAGCACTCAAAGAAGTGCTCAGGGGACCATAGAAGGTACAAGGGATCAAACCAGGGTTGTCTCTGTGCAAGCAAGCATCCTACCTATTTGTTGTAATATCGCTCAGCTTCTAAAGAGAAGATTTTAAATAGGAGAGATGATAGATTTTTGCAAAGATATGCTACTTTCTTAACTGTTTCTTTCCTCCAACTGGACAAATAGCTACACATGCATTTCCAGGTCTACTTGTATGCTGTGTATGGCTGATGAAAAGAAATAGAAGTGATCTTGCGAGCTGGAGAAAAAGTTCAGTAGATCAGGTATTTGTCTTGAGTGCAGCCCACCAGGGCACCCCGTAAGTTTCCCTGAGCACTGCCAGAGATAGTCCCTGAACAAAGAGCCATGAGTAAGCCCTAAGCTCAGCTGTCTGTGCGCCCTATTGATCAAAAATGATCAATAGAATGATTGCAGTCATTTCTGAGATATTTAAAAACACAGTATGAGACTTTTACCTATGAACAGTAGAAATGAGAGCCAGAAGGACGGGCCCATGTTTGGAAGCTTGTCACAGTGGAGGGAAAGAAGAGAGGGCAGTTAAGATAGAGAAGAGAACACTATGACGACAGGTGGAAATTACCACCCTGGACAAGAATTGAGTGCTGAAAGTAGGTAAAGGGACATACATGATACCTTACAGTACCTGCACCGCAAACCACAATGACCAAAAGGAAAGGAGAGAGAGAGAAAAAGGGTGAAGAAGGAGGGGGAGAAGAAGGAAAAGAAGAAAGCATCTGCCATAGAGAAATTTACACTGGTAAAAGATGTTGTAACATTATACAACTGAAACCCAGTCATGTACAACCTTGTAACTGTTTATCTTAGTGATTTAATTAAAAGAAATTTTAATAAAGAAATGATCTATTTATCCTCCCGTCGTATCTCCCAGTCATCCACATTCTTTGTTCTTTTTTGAGCACTCCTTGGACATCTAGTTCAAGAAGCAAATGAAGACTTTAAAGTCAGAGGGGATGTGGAGTAGCAAAATGACAGAACCTAAGCTCTGGAATCAGGGCCAGAGATGCAGCAAGTCAGGCGCTTGTTTGCATGTGAACAACCCCGATATGGTCCCCTGACCACCACTAGTAATGATTCCTGAATGCAGGGCCAGAAGCAACCCCTGAGTACTACTACAAGTGCCCCCCCCCCACACACACACACACACATACACACCAAAAATAGAAAGTAA